TGTGTGTGTGTGTGTGTGTGTGTGTGTGTGTGTGTGTGTGTGTGTGTGTGTGTGTGTGTGTTTTATTGATCTCAGAGGGAAATTAGGTGATGATCTGAATTCGTCCTGCATATCTATGATTTAACAGTTTTTAGCAGCTTTCTGTTCAGCCAGATACTTTTAGGTTCTAATTAGCCTTTAGATACTTTTAGCTTTAGCCTTTTGCTACTTTAAACTCTTCATTTATTTTATTTTTTTATTTTATTTATTTATTTATTTTTGCTACATTAGCTTCTAGTTGGCATTTATTTACTTTTGGCCCCAAGCTAGTGTTGTGCATTTTGCTTTTAGCCAGCATTTTACATCTTTTCATTTTTAGCTAGTATTTTGCTACATTAGCTTTTAGCTGGTATTTTGCTTCTTTCTGCTTTTAACTAGCATTTGGCCTGTCAACTTTACTAAGCATTTTGATATAATAACATTCGCTACTTTTTACTTTACGTTTATTTTTTGTTAGTTGCTGTTTTGTTATTTGCTTTTTCTGGCTTTACCAACTCAGAACTAACTCATCATTTACAATTCCTTCTCTGAAATACTTTTGCTACTGTAGCTACATTATGCATTTCTCCCTATGGAAAAATTCTATTCTATTCTATTCTATTCTATTCTATTCTATTCTATTCTATTCTATTCTATTCTATTCTATTCTATTCTATTCTATTCTATTCTATTCTAAATTAATGTTGCAGAATAAAAATGTTGTATGACACTGACCTCTGCAGGGTGACATGAGGATTGTGACTTTTTTCAGTTTGGGGGGAAATAATCTCTTTACCTATACTTAATTTAAAAAAATGCACTAAATATGTTTTTTTTCCTAGTAAAGGTGCATATTCTGCTACATGTAGCAGAATAAAGTTGGACTCTAATGAGTGGAATAATAAAGCAAACTGTGACTCATCAAGATTTTTACTTGCTGCAAAACTGATGTCTTGAAATGTTGTTCTTGCATTCCTAAACACAATTAAGCAAAGACTGTGTGGTGACCATCTCATTAAATGAAATACATATAAGTGAGATAGAAACACTGCATGCTATGAAGATTAAGATGGCACACTTTATTAAAAATGTCTTGTTCTAACAATTTTCCCAAATGAAACATGTATTTTTTTTAAATGATCCTGTAAGCTCAAGCTTGACCTGACCCTAAAACTAACCTAAACTCAATTCACACCTTGGTTAATGGCATTTAAACCAAACGGGGACTCGACTTAGGTCCCCAAATGCACCAGCTGTCCCCAAATGCACCAGTTGTCCCCAAATGCACCAGTTGTCTCCAAATGCACCAGTCTCCAAATGCACCAGCTGTCCCCAAATGTAGGCGTTTTGTCTTAAAATTGCCCCCAAATGTCACCAGAAACACACACACACACACACACACACATCAAAAAGAAGAAACTTCTAGAC